TAACACTTTCGCCAACGCATGTTGTAATCGCTTGCTAAAGTGTGGTTGTTATTCTGACGAATTTCATATTATTAGGTTCAGAAACTTGTTGAATATTGAGTCAAGAGTTCGCGATTTCAAAACTATATATATTTTATATATTATATTGAGAGTATAAAGTATGTTATCGAGGGAGACCAAATTTCCGAACTGTGAAATACGTGATTTGTCCTCCCCAGAAATTCTTAATTTGGCGACCTTATAAATTATAGGCTTAGCGGTTATACATACATAGGAAAGGTTGTTTTAGGAAATTACCACTTATTTATTTATTTTTCGATTAAAGCCCCTAGTAATGTTATGATAATCCTAGAAGTTAGCCACGTGCATATTAACAATATTCGTCTTAGCTCTTCGCCGAGATGAAAAGCTTTTACACAAATAAATGAAGCAAACTAAGTATGAATATAAACAAACATTTACGATCTTGCTTTTAGAAGAAGCTTCGCGATTCTCGAACTCATGGCAATAAAGTATATGTTTTCGAGGGGGCCAAATTTCCGAAAGGGGGGCCATATTTCCTAGGAAATATGACCCCCAGGGGGGCCAAATTTCCTAGGAAATATGGCCCGGGAGGGCCAAATTTCGGGGGGGGGGCAAATTTCCTGGGACACCGGAAGTTCATGCATGTTGTCTGACTGACCAGTTACACTACGTGCGATATTTCGTACGGCACGAATAAAAGTTCCGGCCGTGCCACTTTTACAAGCAGTGGCGTAGCCAGCCTAATGATTTTGTCCCGCTATGTAAATTTCGAGTTATTATAATAATTCATTTCTTTCGAAACTTATTGTTTTCACCGTCAGTGAACACTGAAATATTACTATAGCGGGACAAATTAGCATACAGGCTGGCTACGCTACTGTGTACAAGTACTTGGACTGCCTAAATAGGGTAAACCGAGCACGGATAAAAATGGTACGGGTGCCATTTTATCCGTGCCGTACCAAAAATCCCGCGTAGTGTAAAGGCAACTTAAATGACCAGTTTACATGCACCCGTTATTTTTGCCGCGAGTTCTATAGAGGCAAGAAAATATCCAGTGGTAAGCGCAACTCAATATTTATTACTCCGGCGTCAGCGACGGAGTTGAAAATTCGCCCTGGTTTTGTTTTGTTGTTTTGTTTTTTTTTTTTTATTTTTCGTCGTCGCAAGTCTGAATGGCGCGAAACATTGTAGTATTTAAAATGTGTATGTAACCGTATTTATCTACGTTCCAGTCTTATCTGCTAAGAGTTGTGGTGCACAGCTTTGGCTAATTTTCCGATGCGCGATTCGATTTCGCTCGCATGATACGGCAATTCCTCCAAGAGCAACAAATAAACCGTTCTTTTCACGCTTTTCGACTAAGTTTAGATTGAATTGGGGTAAGAATATATTTAATACATGTAGATTTTGGTCCTATTTTAATAATATCGCTGCTATTTCGCCGTTTAACAAGATGATGTGGTCGTGTATGGGCGCGTTGAACGTCGTAGTTTGCACAGGATTGAACATTTAATATAACTATATAAGCGCGAATTCCAAAGGCAAAGTGTAAGACAAACGCCTGTATTCTAAAAGCTCACTCACACTCAAACTCATTGAGTGGGAGATCTTAATCTTCTCATAACGTTTCAATGGCGGTATTTCCAGCCGAACAGGGGCTTGATTTTCATTGATTTACCTTATATCTTTTCATCTATTCAGAAAAAACTTTCTCATTGATCAGCATTAACGAAATTTATATGTCACACTCGATGAGTATGAGTGTGAGTGAGCTTTTTGAATACAGGCGAAAGCGACTATATCATGCGGTTTATTTACATTTTTGAACAATTGAACTTCTATACTTTTTAAAGTACAATGTCCTTTTGAATTTCGCGATCGAACATTTAGGTTCGCAAGGCATCTAAATGCGAATATGAACTGTATTGTTTATGTTCAGAAGCTCTATATTGAAGACTGGCACGTGCGCCGGAGTTAACGCCAGAACAGGCGTCTTGTTTTATAATTCATTCGCCAAAAGAATCAAGTGGGCTTTGAAACAATAAATATAGACAAGATGTTAATACAAAATCAATGAATAATCCCGTTACAACTTGTTAGCTGTTTAGAAATTTTATCGTGTCTAAGTGTCCCATGTTTACAAGTATACATTTTTAAAACTACCATGATTTTTTCATTAAAACAGTTTTCACTTGTTACCAGGCAACATTAGAAGCTCGCGGTCTTCTTCACGCAGAAGAAGTTTTGTTTTTACCTCGTTTGCGCGTTGAAAGAGACTGGACGGACTGTCCTCAGTGAGAAAAAAATTGCACAACCGCATCCCTACGGTCGATGTCTGCCTCACTGGTGTTTCTTCATTCACGGATATAATCATGCCTGGTCCCATCGTGTTGTAAACCCCGTCAGAGATGCATCCCTGTCTGGCGTAGTCGTAGTCGAGAAAGTCCTTTCCTTGACCTTCGTCGTTGGTGAAGATATAAAACTGGCCCGAAATCGGTTCCCCAACTTTGTAGCAGGTGGATGTTTTACACTTGGCTAGTTTCTCTGTTTGGCCGCAAGCGAGGTAGACCGCTGCATGGTGCCCGCTGATGTTCCACATCTTCCTGTGGGCCGCTGAGCAGGCATAGGCAATACGACAATTTACTTCGATCAATGTGATTTCGTTTCCACGTTGCCAGAACTCGATACTGATGAACGTGTTTGTGAGACCAAAACGCTGGGCCATCTTTACCGTGTAATCGTATAGCTTCTTATATGTTTCCCGGTCAACGAACTGTGGGAAAACATAGTGAAGAAACGCTCCCGGCATGCCAGGAGCAAGTTTACTAATGCCCGAGGTGAATGTTCTAAATTTACCATTGTCCTCCAGCCAGCCTTCGAAGAGGTATTGGTCGCTCATATCGACCAGCTCTTCCACAACAGCGATATTTTCCACTGCCAAGGGAAACTTTTCCAGATCAAGATAGCGCTTAAAAAACTCGCGGTACCCAGTGAAATATGGAGCTACAAGCTTATTGAGTTTGGCCACAGCGGCCTCCATTTCTGCCTTATCAGTGACACAACAAAGCCCGTAACATGCTTCGAAAAAAGGTGCTTTTAGAATGCAAGGATAGCGCATTTTATCTTTCCATTCGCTGGACGGTTTATCCATGTTGATGTAGCCAAACCAAAGCTTCCCCTTTTCCGTCTTTCTCGAGTAATACTTGTTAAGACAAAGGAAAGTGGACTCCAAGGTAGGACCTGGCAGACCAGTCTGTTCACATACCACAGATGCCACAACAGACGCCATATCGTGACTAAATATAATGGCTGTTATTTCGTGATCTTTCACGTAACGAACAGCTCTTTCAACGTAGGATATCAAGAACTCAGGCTTGGCCAAATGACTGCCGTAATCTAGCGGTTTTGTTTCTTTGTCAATAACATCTTCCAAAGCGCATAAAAAGTGAACCTCTTGCTCATTTGGATCAAGTAGAGCTGCTTCAGCATGGTCAAATGATGTAGGAAGAAGATTAAGAATTTTGTGCATTTTGGAACGCTCGAATACTGACCAAAGCCAAGGCAAAATTATTTTATTGAATAGCTTTCGGTTACTATTGAATAGCTTGTGGTCTTCAATAAAGCTTTTACAGGGTGTAGGAAAAAAATGCAAACACCTGTTTATTACGCCTCTGAACAAGGTGGAATTTCGTTTTAAACTAATTGGCATATTTGTTTACATTTTTAGGCGAAGCCAAGCAGAATGCCTAAATTTTTAATACTTCATGTAAAATGGTATATAATGTACCTTTTCCAGGAGGTAGTCAAAATTGAATCGTATTTGTGAACTAAAAAAACTGTTGAAATCCCTCGCGTGGCCAAAAGGTCGTGATGACGTATGCAATGTGACACAGTGCGCTCTTTCTATTTATAAGAAGTACCAACGTTATCGCAACGTTGGCTAAAGGTTGTATTTTGGTTAAGTCGTGACTAAACCTTAATACAACGTTCTCACAACGTTGCTTGACCTAATTCGTTTTACACAACGTTGTATTAATGTTGGTTGAACGTTAGATTCAACCCGGCCATCTTGTTTATCTGAACGTTATATTCTGACATTGCAGTAACGTTGGTTTAACGTTGTGTTTAACGTTTGACCTGCAGGTGGTATTGTTCGTCGTATCAACGTTACATCGCAACGTTGGGACAACGTTGGTTGAAAGTTAAGATTAACGTTTGATCAGAGTGACATTCTCGTCGTATCAACGTAACATCGCAACGTTGTGACAACGTTGTTTGAAAGTTAAGATTAACGTTTGATCAGAGTGACATTTTTGTTGTATTAACGTTACATTGCAACGTTGTGACAACGTTGGTTAAAAGTCGAGAATAACGTTTGGTCGAGTGACACTTTAATTGGTCGTATTAACGTAACATTGCTTTGTCATTACAACGTTGTTTGGAAAAGTTCATATTAACGTTTGATCAAGTTTACATTTTTGTTGGAGATGTCATATTGTCATTGTGACTGTATATATATGTTTGATCATTTAAATGCAAGTAACGTTCAGTTCGAACATTTTGGCATTGCGGTTTATTGAAATTAAAGTTCAATTTATCATGAAATCGCTACGCGCTGTACGCACATCACCCACTGAAGAATAGTCAGTTAGCGATAATCTGTGAGTCTTCGTGAGACCGTTGCAAACATGAATTGCAACTAATAAACCATACAGTATTTATGAATAACGAAGCTTTACATTATATTACATTCGATATTGCGACGATGGCGGCCCATATAAATGCTATATTTTAGTATAAACGATTACTAGATGAGTATAAAGACGACAGAAATTTGCAATGCCAACATCCCAATAGATGTGATGCTGTTTATATATGTCAACACCGGCCATATATGGTAAATGTTGGGCACGATCGAAAAAGTTTGTAGGCTCAGATTTCGATTATAAACGCCGCGCGTTTGTCTCCGCCGATAGTGTTACGTCTTTGCGTAGTTTGCGACAAACAAATCTCCCATTATTTCAAGCCGTTTTGTTTGAAATCTTTTTTTCCTTGGAACAACTGAAGTGCCAAGGTCATCAAAGTAAGTAAATATTGCTTTGTAGTTTCTAATAGGAATGAAAATAAAAGCCAATAAGGTCAAAGGGCACCAAATTCAAATGTTCTTCAACTGAAGCATTTTACATTTACATTTTTTCAGCTTATCTGTCTCGATTATATAAAGAGAAAGGGATTCTAAATTACAAGTATTCATATACACGTCACAAAGGTAAGAAAAGATTCATGATTTATGTTTCTTTCTGTCAAATTCCATGAGGCAAGATTGCGGCATGTCAACGCCGAAATGAATGTCGGTATATGTCAATACCATATATGGTCAGCACTGTGTGCGATTCGCAAAATCAGATCGCTTTTACCATCACATATACACGCGTTCGTCACCGTTGAAATTTGAAAACTCTACTCTGCGAAGAAAACAGTAATATCAATTATTATCTTTCGTTTTGAACATTTCGTTTGGAAAGAATTGAAATAAAAAGGTCGTAAACGTAAGTAAATATTGTTGTAGATTGTAATATGAATGAAAATTTGTTTGTAAACACTGTGACATATATAAGGTCAAAGGGCATCAAATTATAATGTGTCTTCGGCTCGGCGTTTTAATTTGAATTTTTAAAGCTTACCTGCGTCGATTATATAGAAAAGGTTACTCTAAATTCGAAATATTCATATACACGACACGAAGATACGAAGACATTCATAATTGTTTAATTACTTCTAAAATGTGCCATGTTTTTACTTTTTCTGTCATCTCCCATGAGGAGAGAGGGTCTATAATAGAAAGGATCAGGTGCATGGCATTGTATTATTGTGTTTAAGCCTGTGATTCGCCCTGGATAACCTAAGATATGTTCTGCTCATGTTTAAAAAAGGCTAAACTGGTCGAATGATTGTATTTGCAGTCTATAATAGTTTGGATTATTTGTGTTCATGGCTTCCAATTCTCTAGCTACCTTTGGTGAAGTGTGATAAGCTGTCATTTGAATTTAGTCTTTAATGAGGGCTATGCTATGTTCCTTTCAGAGAACAACAGAATGATATTAAAGTAATATATAAATAACTTAAGGATATCGGCAGAAAAGCACCCCTAACTATTTTAGGCAATAAAAAATTGTGCCGATGTGTATTATTTTAAGTGGGTCAGTATAGGTATAAAGTAATTGTTCTTCACACATTATAGACCAATTTTGAATTTAGGCATAAACAAAGTTACTATTTTTATAACTTATAATTTCTTTGAAGTTGCCCAAATAAAATGCTTTATTGTGACACCATGACCTAAGTAGAGGTTTTGAAAGACTCAGCAAATGTTGAAAGCATACCAATAAAATTAAATCCTGGTTGTTTACTAAGTTTAATGAATGTGCATCAATATGATTGAAACATCGACAAACAAGTTATGCCAGTTTAAATTGGAAATGTGTATTTTAAAGTTTTTGTGGTAATCAGTGTAAGGTGATTCAGATAGAAGTATTACAAACTATCTATGTTATTATAGACTTAGATACATTTATATGGCATACTGATAGTGGGGCAGAGCCATCCCTATTTGGTTTAAGTTTTTAATTTTTCATGATAAATACTTTAAGCTGATTTTATAATTTTTTTCAGTTTAAAACAATGAAATCTAATCGGGCACAATACAGGAAAAACTGGGCTGCTGCTAATAGAGCATTAAGACGTGGTGATGCTCTTGTGCCTAATAATGATAATGGTCAATGGTTAAATCCTGAAGACAGTGGGTCTAATACCGAGCCTGAGGATTATGAACCACCCCAAAAATCTGTTCGAACCACTCCTGAACAATCATGTTCTTCCTTCCATGATACTGCTAATGCTGCAGAATTTGGGGAAAATCAATTTATAAGTAGTTCCTCTGAATCTGAAGATGAATACCCTCAACCAAGTTGCTCTTCCTTGAATAAGAATGATAATGTAGACATTAGTTGTAGTGAATCTGAAAATGAGATTTCTTTTGACAACAAGTTAGGTGATTGGGCAAACAAATTTTCTATTAAGCAAAATGCTCTTGATGGTTTGCTTGTTTTATTAAAGGGTAATGGTCACCCAGATTTACCCAGCTGTGCTCGTACATTGTTGCAGACCTCCAGAATTGTCTCCATTGAAAAAAAATCTGGTATGGATTATGTTTATTTTCCTTTAGCTGAGACTTTATTAAAGCACTTTAAAAGACACCCTGTTGAAACAGTTCGAAACACTGATTTGCTAGAAATCTCTTTAAATGTAGATGGGCTTCCTTTGTTTAAGAGTTCTGGAAAAACCTTATGGCCAGTGTTGTGTGCCATTGTGAACATAAAACCTGTTGTTGTTTTCCCAGTTGTTCTGACATGTGGGGACTCCAAGCCTAAGGATTTGGAGTTTTTAGATGAATTGATAAACGAGTTGAATATTATTCTTGAAAGTGGCCTAAAAGACGGTGAAAGAGTTTTGCCTGTCACAGTTAGATGTATTGTTTGTGATGCCCCAGCAAGAGCACTTGTGAAAGGCACCAAGCTTTGCTCGGGTTATTTTGGCTGTGACAAGTGCACCCAAAAAGGCATGTGGGCAGGCAGAGTGATCTATCCCCTGATTAGCAATCTTGAAATACGTACTGATATTTCCTTCCGAGAACAAGCTCAGGAGGAACATCATCGTGGGTTAAGTCCTTTCTGTAGTTTGCCTGTTGATATGGTTAAGAAATTTCCAATTGACTATATGCACCAGTTGTGTTTAGGAGTGATGCGGAAATTACTTTTGGTTTGGATGAGGGGGAAGCGTGAGGTGAGAATGTCTGTTGGTCATGTGGAGGCTGTAGGTCGTAAATTAGTGGGGCTGAAACCTTTTGTCCCTTCTTTATTTGCAAGAAAACCCCGTAGTTTATTGGAAGTAGACAGGTGGAAAGCAACAGAATTTAGGCAGTTTCTGTTGTATACAGGCAAAATTGTTTTGAAAGGGATCCTACGGCAAGATCTGTATGAGCATTTTTTAGTTTTAAGTGTTGCAAGTTCCATTCTGGTATGCCCTTCTTTAGCACACTGTTACAAAAATTATGCCAAGCAGCTGATGGAATACTTTGTTCAGCAAAGTAAGGTTTTGTATGGTGATGAATTCCTTGTATATAATGTACATAGTATGATTCATTTGGTTGATGAGGTTGACGAATTTGGGTCTTTGGATGCATGTAGTTCATTTCCATTTGAAAACTACATGCAAAAATTAAAAAAGATGGTTAGGTCAGGGAAAAACCCGATTGCACAGATAGCTAAACGTATTAGTGAATGTTCTAGCACCATTGAGAAAAAATGTGAAGCTCTAGTTAGTGTGAAAACACCCAACAATGCTTTTCAGTTGGATGACACATCTTGTGTTGAAGTGGTTGAGCGGGCTTATTCTGTTGAGGATGAGGAACTATACCTTTGCAGAGTATATGAGAAAACCGAACCCCATTTCACTAATCCTTGTGACTCCCGTTTAATTGGCGTCCATAAAGCAACCGCGCGAAGGAGTACAATGAAAGTTCTGCCCATGCAGAAGCTCACCAAAAAAGCAATGGTTATTGACATTGGTTCTGAGAAAAAAATATTTATGGTTGTTCTCCACACCAACAATTGATAACTAAGGTAATGGTCTACAGATGGCTCAATAAACACATTACCAAAGCTGTTATCAGAAAACATAAGCTATACTTAGTATTAGAGTTTATGTTTGTGACTGGCGTATTAATAATTTATTTCTATCCATCCTTAGATGTCAAGTGATAGTTTTGCTGTGGTGGAATTTGTTGACGAAAAGGCAGTTGAGGTTGTAGCCAAAAGCTGGATTGAAACTTGTGATGGGGTAGGTTTTCATTTGTTAGGCTTTCAATCAATATATTATCGGCTACACAAAAGTAACATAAAACTGCTTTTCAGGATTTGTATTGCTATTGGCCAAGGACAAACGTTTCCTTAAGGGTGAAAAAGCTGGAGCTGCCAGATAAAAACAGTTGGAAAAAATATAAAATTAGGATTTTCTCATATACAGGTACATACCACAAATTGTTTTTTGACACTCTAAATTTGTGTTTGTGTCACATCCATTATGACTTCAATTGATAATTTCTTAAGTTGTGCAGGTCTTTATGGAGATTTTGGCTAGTAGTTATAATTATTATTAATATAATCTTTATACCTTCTGTTGAACAGACAGCTTAGTAAAAGCAAAAAATTTTGCAAAAAAGGCTCTTGCTACATCCAACATAGAATCAGATGAAGATCCTGACTGCAATGTGCCACGGAAACGTGTTTGCATTAGAAGTAGCATGGAGGATTTTCCAGACTACAGTGATACAGACAGTAAGATAGATTTTATAAGAATGAGTGGTGTAAACACCTTGTTTTGTGCATACTTTGAATGAAAATATATCTTATTTTGCGATCTTGTGTTACACTAGAGGATGATGACAATGATGAACAGGAGAGGCCACAACACGTACCTTCACAGCGTGCTAAACTACCAATAGCACCAAGTTTTAAACCCTCGGTGCTCCCACGAAAACCCAACAATGAACGGTCACCTCCACAAAATGCAGAATCTGTAGACATTATAGAAGACTCCACTAGTCAATCGGGAAGTATGGTGATATCAGCACTGAGCCAGATCCTGTCTACTGATCCAAGTAGTAAGTATAGTAATAACTAATGCTGAAAAGATGATCAAGAATTCTCATTTCAATTCACTTTTAATAATCTCTAATGTTTTGATCAAATCTAATGTTTCTTTAATTTGTATTTAGGCATATACAATGATTTGGTTACGATCTCACATGAAGGTAGGAATATTAATTCTAGGGTTTATTACTGTATAGTTTTGTCCATCGTCAATATATTGTAGTACAAGATTTAGCTAATGGTCCTAATACCTCTTTTTTAGATATACTAGACACACAACCTCTGCAAGAAGCACCCAGCTGCAGCACTTTCCACACGCCATCCCAGTCGAATGGTATATATAAACTTTACTGAATTGTCAGTTATTGATGACTATTTTTTAAAGAATTTACCATTTACAATAGCTACATTATCTTTATTTACTATTGCAGATATATTCGACAGCAGACATAGGCATAGCCCCTTGCCGAGTAATCCTACATCAAGGCCTAGTGGTATGTTAATCCAGTCGAAAATAATTTTCTATAGTGTTCACAAACAGAAGTGCTCATAGTATAACAGGAAGTGATATGAGACTCTTCTTTAACGGATAATATTTTAGGTGCTCATTACACTACATCTCTTTGTAGAAACAAAGAATATAACGTTTCCTTCTTATACTTTGTTTTGTGCATGTATTTCCTCGAAAGTAACTATTTTTAAGAAGAAGCTGGCTCGATAATGTTGTGAAACGATTTCGTTTTTAAGGACCTTTTATATTGCCATTGGAATTAGTCACCTATATCTTGTAAATGTTGTTTGTGTATAATGTAATTTTAGGTACCCTATTAATGGAGCAATGCGCTCTGAATAGGGATTACCCTACCTGTCAGGATTGACAAAGCATGTAAAATAAATAAAAATTAACTGTATTATTTAAAATCAACCTTTTGGTTTGTAATATAGAAGCGTGTTTGAGAGTGCACAGAGATTGTAATGAAGCAACAGTTGAAGAACAGATTAGCGAAGTTTTAAAATATGCTCCCAGCAAGGCTGGAGGTTCAAGATTTAAGGTAACCAACTAACCAATTACAAGCATTACGTATTATTGAATAGTTTTGTTTAGTGTAAAATGCTTCAACAGCGGGAATATAATTGTTGTGAAAGACTTACAAATACAAACGGGTATATGTTGCGTTCAATATATACCTCTGGGCCTGGTTGTATCAAGCCCGTTTAGTTTAAATGATGGGTATGTTAGAAATAGAAAGCAAGTCTATCGTTTTAAATATTTTTGACCTTAATACAAATATACTGTTACAACTACATGCATATTCAGCGCATAATATTCAAGTCGACTCATTCAAGAGAGTTATATTTATAAGAGTATTATTTAATTTTCACTTATTCAACGTTTAAGCTAAATGAGCTTAATACAACCGGCCCCAGTTAGTAAGTTTGATCATTATCACTTATTTTTATCTTCCTTCCTTTGTAGGATCGAAAGACACAATCCGAGCAACAAGAGTAATATAACCCTGACACTGTCCTTGTTAAAAATGTTATGTGATGTATATATGTATGTCTAAATGGTTTGTAAATAAACCTGCTTGTGAATTAATTTGCATCAGTGAAATATAATATTTAAATCACATTGTGTTGTGTAAATGTTTTTATAATAGTTCCCTAGTCTAAAAATGCAGTCTACGATTAAGTCTCATCGATTTAATATTTCTATAACAAACTGATTAGGCGATCGATGACGACGGTGTCGGTATTGCAAGCTGGTAAACGCATTTGCAGGAATTTTCAATACATTGCCAAAATAACGTTGTCTCAACGTTGATATCCAACGTTTTCTTAACGTTGGTTGGACGTTGTTTAAACGTTGCTCGAACGTTGGTTAAAGGTTGCATTAACGTCGGGTTCTGAAGCTAGGTTATCCGAACGTTGAGTAGAACGTTGTACGCACGTTGTATTTACGTCGGGCTGTAACGTTAATCCTAACGTTAATACCACGTTCCTACGAGTTCACAAAAAAACGTTAAACCAACGTTAGTAAATAACGTTATCTAAACGTTCGACGAACGTTCGTACAACGTTCATACAACGTGATTGTGCTAGCTGGGTACCACGTAAAATCGCAATATTTCTGCAATTTGATGAGCTCCCAAAAAAATATGCATCTTGTAGATGCAGTGTATTAGTCAAGTGAAGAGAATGATATAAAAAAACTACATCAATTTTTAATTTTTAGTCGCTTATAAGCTGCCGAATATTAGCATAAATTGACGCAGCTCAGTTGTACTTTATTTCGCTAAATCCTAGCTTTCTAACTAGCCACATTTGAACTGTAGGTATTTTCGTGGTGTATCTACTTGAACAGTTTTTATATTTATAATCCGTAGTAATATTGGCGTAGCGGATGCACTTCATTTCGTTGTTTCAACAAACTTTGCATACTCATGATATTAGTTATACTAGCTGTGAACCTAGTTAGATTTATAGCCCGTTTGTCTGACGTTTCAGTCTTTTGAAGTGTCCTGTTTTCGTCTCGCGATCAGTAATGTTTTGTTGTTTTCTTACAACCGAGCTTTATTGCATACGTCACACTGCATACGTCACAAGTCCTAAACTCTCGGTACCAGTCTTTCAACAGTTTACGATTGAAACAGCCTAGTTCCTAGGCCTCATTGCGCGGGTTTTAAAAGACTTTAGCAGCCTTTTTACAACAAAAAAATTTTTACCGAGTCAAGGGCAGTAAATTCTTTCGGAATTTCACAATTTTAATTTTTTCCTTTTTTCCTTGCTTGTTTATGACGGCAACCTGTCGCCAACTTATTCGGTTTGTAATAATCCAAAGAGAAAATGCTTTCAAAAAGACAAATGATTCCACTAATCAATAATCACCAGCAATAATACTTTGCTGACGTTGGCGTTATCTTATGGAAATCAGGCTTTACATTGCTAAAATCGTTACATACAACAAATTTGAATTTCCCGGCTGTCGACAATCATTTAGAATATGCATTCCAGATGAACACAATATCTTTGAGTTTTTTTAAAACTACCCAGTGTTACTATGTTGTTAGTTCAGTTTATTATGTCGCTAACCGGAAGTTCATTTGACAAATGTAAACATTAAACAGTTGATGATTAGGAGATGTTCAAATAAATGCACAAATACAAAATAAGGAATTACACATAAAATGAAAGAAAAATTACAAGTTTCTTGATAGGAGTTTTTACTCGTTACCAGGTAACGTCAGAAGGTAGCGGTCTTCTTCACGCAGGAGAAGTTTTGTTTTCACGTCGTTTGCGCGTTGAAAGAGACTGGACGGACTGTCCTCAGTGAGAAAGAAACTACACAACCGCACTCCAATCGACGATGTCTGCTTCACTGGTGTTTCTTCATCGACGGATATAATCATGCCTGGTCCCGACGTGTTGTAAACCCCGTCAGAGATGCATCCCTGTCTGGCGTAGTCGTAGTCGAGAAAGTCCTTTCCCTGACCTTCGCCGCTGGTGAAGATGAAAAAATGACCCGAAATCGGTTCGCCATCTTTGTAGCAGGTGGATGTTTTACACTTGGCTAGTTTCTCTGTTTGGCCGCAAGCGAGGAAGACCGCTGCATGGTACGCGCTGATGTTCCACATCTTTCTGTGGGCCGCCCAGTTTCCATGGGTAACACGACAATTTACTTCGATCAATGTGATTTCGTTTCCACGCAGCCAGAACTCGACATTAACGAACGTGTTGGTGAGACCAAAACGCTGGGCCATCTTTAACGTGTAATTGTATATCTTCTCATATGTTTCCCCATCAGCTGAGCCGGCAATGAACTGTGGGGAAACATAATGAATAAGCCCTCCCGGCCTGCCAGGAGAAAGTTCACAAAAGCCTAAGGTGAATGTTTTAAATATGCCATTGTTATCACACCAGCCTTCGAAGCAGTATTGTTCGCTCATATCTACGAGTTCTTCCACAACAGCGATATTATGCACTGCCAACGGAAACTTTTCCAGATCAAGATATCGCCTAAAAAACTCGCGGTACCCAGTGAAATATGGAGCTACTAGCTCATTGAGGTTGGCCAAAGCGGTCTCCATTTCTGCTTCATTTTTAACACAACAATGTCCAGCGCTTGACGCGAGAAAAGGTGCCTTTAGAATGCAAGGATAGCGCATTTTATCCTTCCATTCGCTGGACGGTTTATCCATGTTGATGTAATCAAACCAAAGCTTCCCATTTTCCGTCTCTCTCGAGTAATACTTGTGAAGACAAAGGAAAGTGGACTCCAAGGTAGGACCTGGCAGACCAGTCTGTTCACATACCACAGATGCCACTACAGACGCCATATCGTGACTGCATAAAATGGCTGTTATTTCGTGATCTTTCACGTAACGAACAGCTCTTTCGACGTAGGATATCAAGAACTCAGGCTTCGCCAAGTAACTGCCATAACCTAGAGCTGTCGTTTCTTTGTCAATAACATCTTCCAAAGCGTATAAAAAGTGAATCTCGTACTCATTTGGATCAAGTACAGCTGCTTCAGCATGGTCAAATGATGTGGGAAGAAGATTAAGAACTTTGTGCATTTTGGAACGTTCCAACACTGACCATAGAAAGGCAAAAATTATTTTATTGAACAGTTTTTGGTCACCAGATGTGCGTTCAGTGAAGCTAAGTAATATTATATACGAATAATATAATGTTTACATACAACCACTTCAGAGGTATCCTTCGCAACTGTGAACCTTGAACTTTGAGCGCGTGATGGATGATGGGTTGTAAATTTGCAACTTATTTATCATGGCCAGAATATCGCTCCAACATAATCTCGTAGTACACGTTTAAAAATGTCGACATCGTTTACCAGTTATCAATGCTGTCATGTTAGGATATATCTCCATGCATGCTACGCCGTCATCTTAGGATAGGATTGCACATCTGGGATGTATCTTTCAAAGAAGTACTTTTGCTATGCGGCTACTATCATAGGCAGGCCAAATATGCGTGATGATTTGAACGCGAAAAATTTTTCTGTAATTTGTAAACATGGTGTAAATAATATATAAAGGTTTTTCAAAGGGGTCTTAATTTCGAGTGGTATCATAAACAACCCAATTCAAGCAAGGAGCAGTTGAGATAGTCAGTCAACTATCGGTCGTCCGGCAGGAATCAAACTTACGCTTATGCGATGCCGGTGTCACATACATATCATATCATATTGCATGCATATCCTACGCTTTCCTATGCTACTATATTGCACCATTGAAATCGTTTATTAACACAATAAATTATAATTTGCCGACGATAATAGTCCAAATATGGGCATTCAAAGCCCAACAAAGAATCATTGATTGTGTCTACGTTACCCTCTTAGGATTCACTTCGTTTGTAAGAGTATTAAAAGAACTCTTTATCCACCTATTTACCACTCATTACCAGTCCATAGTTTGAAACGTGAAGGCTGTGTTGACCGTTTTACCATTTTAGTAGAGTATATTACGTCGCTAACCGGCAGTTCATACAAGTTTTTCGACTATATCCAGTTTACACTCGTCATCAGTTTTGCTGCGAGTCATGAAAATATCCAGTGGTAAGCGGAATTCAATATTTATTTTATAATTAATTCGCTAAAAGAATCAAGTGGGCTTTCAAGCAATAAAAATTGACGACATGTTAATACAATGTCAATGAATAATTCCGTTACAACTTGCTCGCTGTTTAGAAATTATCACTAAATCTTGTCTAAGTGTCCCATGTTTACAAGTATACAAGTTTACAAGTTACCAGGTAACATTAGAAGCTCGCGGTCTTCTTCACGTAGAAGAAGTTTTGTTTTCACCTCGTTTCCGCGTTGAAAGAGACTGGACAGAGTGGTGTCAGTGAGAAAAAAATTGCACAACTGCACTCCAACGTTCGATGTCTGCCTTACTGGTGTTTCCTCTTTGACGAAAATAGTCATGCCTGGTCCCATCGTGTTGTAAACCCCGTCAGAGATGCATCCCTGTCTGGCGTAGTCGTAGTCGAGAAAGTCCTTTCCCTGACCTTCGCCGCTGGTGAAGATGAAAAACTGGCA